CTCACCCTCTCATTCCTCACTCACCTATTTCACTCCCACACTCACCCCCTCTCACTCACTCACTTATTTCACTCCCACACCCACCTCTCTCACTCCCACACTCACCTCTCTCACTCCACACACTCACCTCTCTCACTCCCACACTCACCTCTCTCACTCCCACACTCAACTCTCTCACTCCCACACTCACCCCTCTCACTCCCACACTCACCCCTCACACTCCCTCGCTCACCTATCTCACTCCCACACTCACCCCTCTCACTCATCTACATCTTATTTCACTCCCACACACTCCTCTCTCACTCCCCACACTCACCTCTCTCACTCCCACACTCAACTCTCTCACTCCCACACTCGCCCTTCTCACTCACTTATTCACTCCCACACTCACCTCTCTCACATCCCAACTCAACTCTCTCACTCCCACACTCACCCTCTCACTCCCTCACTCACCTATCTCACTCCCACACTCACCCCTCTCACTCACTCACTATTTCACTCCCACACTCACCGCTCTCACTCCCAGACTCAACTCTCTCACCCCCACACTCAACTCTCTCACTCCCACACTCACCCCTCTCACTCCCTCACTCACCTATCTCCCACACTCCACCCCTCTCACTCCCTCACTCACCTATCTCCCACACTCACCCCTCTCACTCCCTCACTCACCTATCTCACTCCCACACTCACCCCTCTCACTCACTCACTCACTTATTTCACTCCCACACTCACCTCTCTCACTCCCACACTCACCTCTCTCACTCCCCACATTCAACTCTCTCACTCCCACACTCACCCCTCTCACTCCCTCACTCACCTATCTCACTTCCACACTCACCTCTCTCACTCCCACACTCACCTCTCTCACTCCCACGTTCAACTCTCTCACTCCCATACTCACCCCTCTCACTCCCTCACTCACCTCGCACCTCTCTCACTCCCACATTCAACTCTCTCACTCCCACACTCACCCCTCTCACTCCCTCACTCACCTCTCTCACTCCCGCACTCACCCCTCTCACTCCCTCACTCACATATCTCAATCCCACACTCACCCTCTCACTCACTCACTTATTTCACTCCCACACTCACCTATCTCACTCCCACACTCACCTCTCTCACTCCCACACTCACCTCTCTCACTCCCACACTCAACTCTCTCACTCCCACCTCACACCCTCTCACTCCCTCACTCACCTATCTCACTCCCCACACTCACTCACTTATTTCACTCCCACACTCACCTCTCTCACTCCCAACTCACCTCTCACTCTCACACTCAACTCTCTCACTCCCACACTCACCCCTCTCACTCCCTCACATCACCTATCTCACTCCCACACTCACCCCTCTCACTCCCTCACTCACCTATCTCACTCCCACACTCACCCCTCTCACTCACTCACTTATTTCACTCCCACACTCACCTCTCTCACTCCCACACTCACCTCTCTCCTCCCACACTCAACTCTCTCACTCTCACTCACAACTCTCACTCCCACAGTCACCTCTCTCACTCCACACTCACCCCTCTCACTCACCTATCTCACTCCCACACTCACCCCTCTCACCCCTCACTCACCTATCTCACTCCACACTTATCTCTCTCACTCCCACACTCACCCCTCTCACTCCCCACTCACTATCTCACTCCCACACTCACTTATTTCACTCCCACACTCACCTCTCTCACTCCCACACTCACCTTTCTCACTCCCACACTCACCTCTCTCACATCCCACACTCACTCTCTCACTCCCACACTCACCCCTCTCACTCCCTCACTCACGTAATCACTCCCACTACACACCCCTCTCACCTCCCCACTCACCTATCTCACTCTCACACTCAACACCCTCTCACTCACCTCACTTATTTCACTCCCACACTCACCTATCTCACCCCCACTCACCTCTCTCACTCACACACACTCCATCACACCCCTCGCTCCCACACCACCTCTCACATCCCTCACTCACCCCTCTCACTCCCCTCACATCACATGCCTCACTCACCTCCCACACTCACCTCTCTCACTCACACACTCACCTCTCTCACTCACACTCATCTCTCCACTCCCACACTCACCTCCTCTCCACTCCCACACTCACCTTTCTCACTTCCACACTCACTCTCTCACTTCCTACCACTCAACCCTCTCACTCCCTCACTCACCTATCTCACTCCCACACTCACACTCACCCCTCTCACTCCCTCACTCACCTATCTCACTCCCACACTCACCCCTCTCACTCACTCACTTATTTCACTCCCACACTCACCTCACTCACTCCCAGACTCACCTCTCTCACTCCCACACTCACTCTCTCACTCCCACACTCACCCCTCTCACTCCCTCACTCACCTATCCACTCCCACACTACCCTTCATTCCTACTCATCTCTACACTATTTCACTCTAACTCACCCCTCTCACTCATCACTTATTTCACTCCAACACCACTCTCTCACTCCCACACTCACCTCTCTCACTCCCACTCACCTCTCTCACTCCCACACTCACCCTCTCACTCCCATATCTCAACCTCTCACCCCACACTCCAACCCTCTCTCACTCCCACACTCACCCCTCTCACTCCCTCCTCACCTATCTCACTCCCCACACTCACCCCTCTCAATCACTCACTTATTTCACCTCCCACACTCCTCTCTATCCCACAACCTCTCTCACTCCACACTCAAATCTCTCACCCCACACTCCCCTTCCCCCTCACTTATTTCACTCCACACACTCAACCTCTCTCACCTCCCAAACTCAACTCTCTCACTTTTCCCACCATCACCCCTCTCAACCCCCTCCCCTCCCCCAACTCACTCTACTCACTCCCACACTCACCCCCTCCCCTCCCATCACTTTTTTCACTCCCACACTCACCCTCTCACTCCCAACTCACCTTCTCACTCCCACACTCACTCTCTCACTTTCCCCCAACCCCCACCCCTCTTCAACTCCTCACTCCACATCCCCCCTCACCCCTCACTCCCCTCCTCCCCTCACCTCTCTCCCACACTCACCCCTCTCACTCCCCCACTCACCTTCTCACTCCCACACTCACCCCCTCCCCCCCACTCACTCACTTATCACTCCCACACTCACCCCTCTCACTCCCACACTCACCTCTCTCACTCCCTCACTCACCTCTCTCACTCCCGCACTCACCCCTCTCACTCCCTCACTCATCTATCTCACTCCCACACTCACCTCTCTCACACACTTCTTACACTTTCTCATTTTCCACACACATCTCTAACATTCTCACCTCACCTCCCCTCCACATCACCTCCCCTCCACCTCACCTCCCCTCCGCATCACCTCCCCTCCACCTCACCTCCCCTCCGCATTACCTCCCCTCCACCTCACCTCCCCTCCACATCACCTCCCCTCCACATCACCTCCCCTCCACCTCACCTCCGCCTCATTTTTCACATGTACTCTCTGATAAATGAAGGTTCTGTAGTGGAGCTGATGCTTGCCCAGGATGACTATATCAGGTCACCTTACATCTTAGTGTTGCTGAGTACAAGTGTGAGTAGTGTTGCTGAGTATAAGTGTGAGTAGTGTTGCTGAGTACAAGTGTGAGTAGTGTTGCTGAGTACAAGTGTGAGTAGTGTTGCTGAGTATAAGTGTGAGTAGTGTTGCTGAGTACAAGTGTGAGTAGTGTTGCTGAGTACAAGTGTGAGTAGTGTTGCTGAGTACAAGTGTGAGTATGTTGCTGAGTAAAGTGTGAGTAGTGTTGCTGAGTACAAGTGTGAGTAGAGTGAGTTGTTGAGTACAAGTGTGAGTAGAGTGAGTTGTTGAGTACAAGTGTGAGTAGAGTGAGTTGTTGAGTACAAGTGTGAGTAGAGTGTGTTGCTGAGTACAAGTGTGAGTAGAGTGTGTCGCTGAGTACAAGTGTGAGTGGAGTGTGATGCTGAGTACAAATGTGAGCAGTGTCTTGCTGAGTACAGGTAGTAGTAGTGTTGCTGAGTACAATTGTGAGTGGAGTGTGCTCCTGAGTACAAATATGAGTAGAGTGTGTTGCTGATTACAAGTGGAGTTACGGAATATAACAGAGAAACAAAGAAACTAGCTTTTGTTCCCACTGTATAACTATTATACAGAATAATGTTGCAGAACACGGCTGATATCACGTCCCCCACTCACCACTCCCCCACTCACCACTCATGACTCCCCCACTCACCACTCATGACTCCCCCACTCACCACTCATGACTCCCCCACTCACCACTCATGACTCCCCCACCACCACTCATGACTCCCCCACTCACCACTCATGACTCCCCCACTCACCACTCATGACTCCCCCACTCACCACTCATGACTCCCCCACTCACCACTCATGACTCCCCCACTCACCACTCATGACTCCCCCACTCACCACTCATGACTCCCCCACTCACCACTCATGACTCCCCCACTCACCACTCATGACTCCCCCACTCACCACTCATGAATCCCCCACTCACCACTCATGACTCCCTCACTCGCCACTCATGACTGCCCCACTCATGACTCCCCCACTCACCACTCATAACTGCCCCAATCACCACTCATGAATGCCCCACTCACCAAATATGACTGCCCCACTCACCACTCATGACTGTCCCACTCATCACTCATGACCCCCACTCACCACTCATGACTCCCCCACTCACCACTCATGACTCCCCCACTCACCACTCATGACTCCCCCACTCACCACTCATGACTCCCCCACTCACCACTCATGACTCCCCCACTCACCACTCATGACTCCCCCACTCACCACTCATGACTCCCTCACTCGCCACTCATGACTGCCCCACTCATGACTCCCCCACTCACCACTCATAACTGCCCCAATCACCACTCATGAATGCCCCACTCACCAAATATGACTGCCCCACTCACCACTCATGACTGTCCCACTCATCACTCATGACTCCCCCACTCACCACTCATGACTGCCCCACTCACTCAAAACTCTCTCGTCCTCAGTCTTCGCTTTTGGCAGTACCTACTTCATCCTGTTCATCGCCCGGGCGGTCCAAGGCATTGGCTCCTCCTGCTCCTCCGTGTCTGGTAAGTCACCACTAATATCTTAACTGTCCATGAATACGTGGTCAGTAAGTGTCCATGGATACGTGGCCAGTAAGTGTCCATGGATACGTGGTCAGTAAGTGTCCATGGATACGTGGTCAGTACGTGTCCATGGATACGTGGTCAGTAAGTGTCCATGGATACGTGGTCAGTAAGTGTCCATGGATACGTGGTCAGTAAGTGTCCATGGATACGTGGTCAGTACGTGTCCATAGATAAGTGGTCAGTAAGTGTCCATGGATACGTGGTCAGTAAGTGTCCATGGATACGTGGCCAGTAAGTGTCCATGGATACGTGGTCAGTAAGTGTCCATGGATACGTGGTCAGTAAGTGTCCATGGATACGTGGTCAATAAGTGTCCATGGATACGTGGTCAGTAAGTCCATGGATACGTGGCCAGTAAGTGTCCATGGATACGTGGTCAATAAGTGTCCATGGATACGTGATCAGTAAGTGTCCATGGATGCATGGTCAATAAGTGTCCATGGATACGTGGCCAGTAAGTGTCCATGGATACGTGGTCAGTAAGTGTCCATGGATACGTGGTCAGTAAGTGTCCATGGATACGTGGCCAGTAAGTGTCCATGGATACGTGGCCAGTAAGTGTCCATGGATACGTGGTCAGTGTGTCCATGGATACGTGGTCAGTAAGTGTCCATGGATACGTGGTCAGTAAGTGTCCATGGACACGTGGTCAGTAAGTGTCCATGGATACGTGGTCAGTAAATGAATATTCAAACACTCCAGTTAATAAAATATACAATAAAATATATTTCTCTATAAGAAAAACACACCCTCGCATATATATATATATATATATATATATATATATATATATATTATATATATATATATATATATATATATATATATATATATATATATATATATATAACAATTCGCAAACAGGCGAAATTACTTATAAACATTGTCTCTACGTCCACAGCAGGACTCGAACCTGCAAACTCTGTATCAAAGTAACAGTACTTTACCACGGAGCCAAACCCCAGATAAGTATGGGCGCCTAGCCGTAGCTAGATGTTACCCCATACCCCAAGGTACCAGGCTTGTTTTTAGAGTTATTTCATCCAATCCTGCCACATGCAGTTGACAACATATACCCTCTGTGTCCATGTATTGTTTGTAAAGGCTTGACAAAGCTCCTGGAGAGCGAAACGTTGCCACAATAAAATGTCCCATTAGTTGCGCCTGTGTCCTTTTACCCAACATATTGTCGGTAATTCTACCAACCGTATTACAGGTATGGGCATGTTGGCGGAGCGATACCCAGACGACAAGGAACGAGGGAATGCCATGGGCATTGCCCTTGGAGGTTTGGCACTCGGGGTACTAATAGGGCCACCCTTCGGCGGTGTCATGTTCCAGTTTGTGGGCAAGACGGCACCATTCCTCATTCTGGCAGTCTTGGCACTGGGAGACGGACGTGAGTGCCTTAACTATTTCTTATGCAAAACAACCACGGTGGAGGGGGGGGGGAAGTTGAATGGCAGCTCTAGGCCTTTCGTTTTGCAATCAACACATCATCAGAAGCTTGCAATGTTACAGAAAAAACGGAATTCTAAGGATATACGTTCAGATGACGCGTCATCTGAACGTATTTGCTTGTAATTCCTCCCTATTTCTGCAACATTGCAAATTCCTGATGATGTGTTGATTGCAACACGAAAGGCCTAGAGCTATCATTCAACCCCCCCCCCTCCGCAGTCGTTTTGGAATTTGTATCGTTTGTTCGCGATTATCGTATATTTCTTACACATATTTTTTTACGCTTTACTATATTCGTGGGGAAAGGCTAAACCCTCGGGGTAGCTTCAGTTCCTTGGATCAAGAGCCCTCCACCAGCATCAAGGCACCTTGAAGGGTTTTATGAAATGAAAAGCCTTGATATCTCCCCCAAAAAAATTACGTTCTTTCAATTTTTCAAGCTTTTTTTTTAATTTTTCAGCATTTTTTCCGGTATTTTTCAAGCATTTTTCAGCATTTTTTCAAGCATTTTTTCAAGCATTTTTTCAAGTATTTTTTCAAGCAATTTTCAGCATTTTTTCAGGCATTTTTTTCCAAGTATTTTTTCAAGCATTTCTCAGCATTTTTTCAAGTATTTTTTCAAGCATTTCTCAGCATTTTTTCAAGTATTTTTTCAAGCATTTCTCAGCATTTTTTCAAGTATTTTTTCAATCATTTCTCAGCATTTTTTCAAGTATTTTTCCAAGCCATTTTAGGAACTTTAAATTTTTTCAATAAAACATATTTTGGCATTAAAAATCAATATAATTGTTTATATTATACATAACGTTTCGCATAGCTTTTAAAAAACCACATAGACATTTTAAAACTAGGGGGAGGGAGAGAGGCTCTTGATCCAAGGCGGTGAAGGTAACCCTCACCTTCGCTGGATCGAACCTGATTATCACCCATCCCCAAGAGGCCGTGTGAGTCTTACGTGTTTAGAGCTTCCCCATGCAAGCCTTGCCTCTCTCTCGCCTCAGTAATGACTGGTTCGTGGTAATTAGTGACGAAATACTGATGATATAACTGTGCTCTATGTAGAGCTCCACAAAGCTCTGCGTAGAGCTCCATCAAAGCTCCGCGTAGAGCTCTGCATTAGAGCTCTCCCACACGCCGTGCAACACAATCACTGACTCTCTAATCCTGTACATTGCACGCCTTTCCCCGGTGGTGGTCGTACCCAGTGTTGCAGCTACTGGTGCTTCAGCCAGCCGTCGTGAAGCAAGAGGAAGAGGCACCCACCCTGGGGGAGCTGGTCAGTGACCCGTACATCATCATCGCTGCCGGTAAGTTCCAAAGAGTGCCACAGTGTCACTGTATCTCAAAAGAGTGACTATTGTAGTGGTGTATTGTGGTGACGGGAGTTACATTGCTTTTCTCCCCCCCCCAACTCTCACTTTTACTGCCCACTTCCCCTCCCACACAGGGGCTATCACCATGGCCAATATTTATCGTCACTCCTCCCACAGGGGCCATCACTCACCTTCACTCCTCCCACAGAGGCCCACTCACCTTCACTCCTCCCACAGGGGCACCCTCACTTCACCTCACAGGCACCTCTCACCTTCACTCCTCCCACAGGGCCACCTCTCACCTTCACTCCTCCCACAGGGGCCACCTCTCACCTTCACTCCTCCCACAGGGGCCACCTCTCACCTTCATTCTTCCCACACGGGCTACCACTCACCTTCACTTCTCCCACAGAGGCCACCACTCACCTTCACTCCTCCCACAGGGGCCACCTCTCACCTTCACTCCTCCCACCCGGGCTACCACTCACCTTCACTTCTCCCACAGGGACCACCACTCACATTCACTCCTCCCACAGGGGCCATCACCTTCACTCCCACAGGGGCCACCACTCACCTTCGCTCCTCCCACAGGGGACATCAATCACTTTCACTCCTCCCACAGGGGCCACCACTCACCTTCACTCCTCCCACAGAGGCCACCACTCACCTTCACTCCCACAGGAGCCACCACTCCCCTTCACTCCTCTCACAGAAGCTAACATTCACCTTCACTCCTTCCAAAGAGCCATCATTCACCTTCACTCCTCCCACAGGGGCCATCACTCACCTTCATTCCTCCCACAGGGGCCATCACCTTCGCCAACATGGGGATCGGCATGCTAGAACCATCGCTGCCACTCTGGATGATGGACACCATGGATGCACCTGAGTGGCAGCTGGGAGCGGCCTTTATCCCAGCATCCATCTCTTATCTGATCGGCACCAACCTCTTCGGTCCACTAGGTCACCTGATGGGTAGATGGCTCGCCTCCCTGATTGGCCTCTTCATCATCGGCATCTGTCTGATGAGTGTTAGTGTGTGTGTGTGTCTGTATATTTTTCTGAACGTGTTTGTGTACGTCTGTGTGTATGTCTCTGTGTATGCACCTGAGTGTCTGTGTGTATGTCTATGTGTTTGTCTTCGTGTGTGTGTGTGTGTATCTTTGTATATGTTGTCGTCATGCGTGTCTGTGTATGTTAATATGTGCCTGTGTGCGTATCTGTATGTGTGTGTGTGTGTGTGTGTGTGTAGAGAGAGAGAGAGAGAGAGAGAGAGAGAGAGAGAGAGAGAGAGAGAGAGAGAGAGAGAGAGAGAGCAAATCTTTAAATCATTTCTGTTAAATATTTCCATTTTATTACAGACGTCATCTATGTTCCAACACACTGTGAATATCTGAATCATTTTCCCCAAGCATATACATATTTTTAAACTCACCTATTAAAATACACGATTAGCGTAGCAGCACACTGCTGGTGTTCCCACTATGTAACTATCACACAGATTAGGGTAACATATACTGCAGGTGTTCCCAGTTGTATTCTATTAACACCACTTGCCGTCACTCAGATCCCCAGCGCCACTAGCATCAACCACCTGATCGCCCCCAACGCCGGCCTGGGCTTCGCTATAGGGATGGTCGACTCATCCATGATGCCAGAACTGGGCTACCTGGTCGACCTTCGTCACTCTGCCGTCTACGGCTCCGTCTACGCTATAGGCGACGTCGCTTTCTGTCTAGGCTTCGCTATTGGTGAGCTATGAGTGACAGAGGAGAGAGAGAGAGGAGAGAGAGAGAGAGAGAGAGAGAGAGAGAGAGAGGAGAGAGAGAGATTGAGAGAGAGAGAGAGAGAGAGAGAGAGAGAGAGAGAGAGAGAGAGAGAGAGTGAGAGAGAGAGAGAGAGGAGAGAGAGAGAGAGGAGAGAGAGAGAGAAGAGAGAGAGAGAGAAGAGAGAGAGAGGGGAGATAGAGAGAGAGAGAGAGGAGAGAGAGGAGAGAAAATGTGTGTTTGTGTGTATTCATCCAGTTATCGATTCATATTATTATTATTATAATCAAGGGGGAAGCGCTAAACCCGGAGGATTATACAGCGCCTGGGGGGGGGATGTGGAAGGCATTCAGGCTTAATTCGGGGAACTGGAGCACAGATCCAATTCCCCAAATCAAGAGCCCCTCACCAACATCAAGGAACCTTCCTTGAGGGGTATCGATTCATAGATCCTGGCTCTACAGTGGTTTTGAAACATTATTTCACCATAAACCAAGACGGACCGAAACGTCGTCTAAAGTTTCTTCTCTAAATTCTGGATCAGTAGTGAATCGTTCGTTTCACTGTGTTTACAGAGCTCACCCCTTATTGCACTACAACAGAAGGCGCGCTTCCTCTCACTGTATGACAGTAACTAGTGCCTTCACTATGACAGGCCCTGCTTTTAACCAGTGCCTTTACTCTGACAGGTCCTGCACTCTCTGGCACTCTAGTCCAGGCCTTCGGCTTCAAATGGATGCTGTATGGGGTGGCAATCATTAACTTCCTGTATGCACCATTTATGTACTGCCTTAAGTCTCCTCCTGCCAAGACCGGAGAACAACAGGTAAATCTCTCTCTCTCTCGCTCTGTTTTATTTAGATTCCATTATCTGATTATTTAATCATTCTTATTTTAATTCTAACACTATAGTATATAATAATAATAAATATTTTGAATATATTCTGAGAAGTGTATCTCTCTCGATGTGTGTACGCAAAATAGTGTATATACAGAGAAAGGCATATATCATACAGAGTTTGCTTTAATCCCTAAATTAGGGATTTAAGTATCCTTAACTGGTATTGTGAAGGTGACATGAACCAGCCTTAATTACTTTAATAACTATGAGACTGTCACTTCCTCGTGTATATAATAATAATAATAATAATAATAATAATAATAATAATAATAATAATAATAATAATAACGATGATAAATTAATTCGCCGCTTTTTTGCAGAACTTGATTTACGGAGAGAAATCTTCAGTACGTTACGTTACCTACAAGAACGAGGAGGAAGAAGAAAACTATCCTTAAAATATCCATAGCGTGAAGGAAACTATCCTTAAAAACCCACTGCGTGAAGAAAACTATTCTATAAGATCCATAGCGTGAAGAAAACTAGCCTTAAAAGATCCATAACGTGTAGAATGTCCCGGGGAAAGGATTTGTTTTGCGAAAACTAAAGCGCAATCGGAGTGTGCTCGTGTGTGTATTGTTGTAAAGTTATCTTCCAAAAGGGCTAAGCAGCCATCTGGATAAATTTATTTTAAGCTATTTCGCTGTGTGGAACTAAGAACCTAGTAGCTCTGCAACTTCGCGAGCCGCACTGGTCAAGCCCCTCAGGCGCAGCGTCTTCGAGAGTTGCACCCGGCAGACCAGATCGAGTCGTGGGGTGCGAAGTCCGTGTTTGACACGCTCTTCTGGACGATGCGTGCTTGTGACAATGCTTTTCACAGATGATGCGCGCTTGTGACAAAGGCTCTCCAGGTCGACGTGAGGCGTCCATATTCCTTCTCGAAGAATGACTAGGAGAGACGCGGGTGGCGCAAGAAATAGCCGCTGTGCGATTGTTTCGAAGTGACTCAGGTTTTGATCAAAAGGCAGAAGTTGCGGTGACGGGAACAATGCCCCTACCCCCTACCGCACTGAATGTCTGAGATGGGTGGTAGACGCGTGAATTTACTACTGAGACGGTTGGTGGATGTGCGAATCTACCCTGAGAAGGATGGTAGATGCGTGAATCAACCCCTTGAGAAGTTTGGTAAATGCACAGTAGATGATCTACTACTGAGAAGGGTAATAAACAGTAGTAGTTGCACGAATCTACGACGTCTTGAACCTCCCAAATAATTTCTCCCAGACAGCTCGAGATGCACAAATTAAAAGTGAAACTCGTCAGAAGGGAGAGACTGAACGAATATTCTGACTACAACGATGATTTGCTAGGAGCCAGCGAGCAGCCAGCTCCGGCACCCACCTTCATAACAAACACAGGCACCTTCACCAACCTTATTCTGTTGCATGTAAATGAGAAGCATAGCCGTAAAAGAAACACCCATTACGAAATATATTTTCATAACTTAGAACGATGATGAGAAACACATTTCAGGCTGCACCCTGTCTTACCGATTATGTCTACACAACATGAAACAACATTCAACGGGACACTGAGCTGTCTCGTTCCTCAGTATAGATACCAAAACTGACTATCAGACGAGCATATAATGAAGTGGATAGGATACTGCATTTCTCGCGCTTCACACCTCTTTTTCTGGCTTATGTAGGACTGGTTACTGTATTTATTTTTGTGTCTATTTCTGCCTTATAGAAGCCCAGATACTACATTTCTTGTGTGTCATACCTTTATTCTGGCTTATATACGACAGTCTGCTACGTTTGTCAACTTTTTCGGCTCAGCCAGCTACTTTTCGGGCTTATGTAGGGCTACTATTGTATTTCTGGCTAACGTGTCAGCAATTAGATTCCACTGTAGTGCATAGAGTTGACCCCGCACATCAGCCTTGGAGAAATCCAATGCTTTTCTTATAAGTATAAAGGCCATTGCAGCGTAATTCCAATTTGCATGGGGTCAATCGAATGCATTTATGGTTTCCACACTGCTTGTCTGTCCACGGAAAGAGAAAGGTCAGTGACGTAACGACTTGGAAAGTGATGAATACAAAGAAAAGACTTTTACTAAATAAGCTTGTATACAACCGCAGTGCGCTGTTTCTTAATACTATTAAGTAATGGACAGAGGGAACGCGAAGAGAAGGAAAGAGGCGTGATGTGCTTAGCGGAGGGGGAGGGAGAGAGAGAGAGGAGAGAGAGAGAGAGAGGAGGGAGAGAGAGAGTGAGAGAGAGAGAGAGAGAGAGAGAGAGAGAGAGAGAGAGAGAGAGGGAGAGAGAGAGAGAGAGGTGAGGGACCTGGAGGAGATAGTCTGGTTCGTATACATGACCACACCATCGGTCAAACTTGGGAAGCACTCTATACTGCTCAGATGACCTTCTCTGGCACCTTATCTCTCTCTCTCTCTCTCTCTCTCTCTCTCTCTCTCTCTCTCTCTCTCTCTCTCTCTCTCTCTCTCTCTCTCTCTCCCTCTCTTTCTCTCTCTCTTTCTCTCTTTCTCTCTCTCTTTCTCTCTCCTTCTAGCATCTAGAAAAAATAGTTAGCTAGGTTATTTACTGTTTTGTGAGCAATGTCCAAATAATACCACAACTACCAGCACTACACAACGTTCTACCAGAAATACCAGCACTACACAACGTTCTACCAGAAATACCAGCACTACACAACATTCTACCAGAAATACCAACACTACACGACGTTCTACCAGAAATACCAGCACTACACAACGTTCTACCAGAAATACCAACACTACACAACGTTCTACCAGAAATACCAGCACTACACAACGTTCTACCAGAAATACCAACACTACACAACGTTCTACCAGAAATACCAACACTACACAACGTTCTACCAGAAATACCAACACTACACAACGTTCTTCCACAACTACCAGCACTACACAACCTTGTACCACAACTACCAGAACTACACAACCTTGTACCACAACTACCAGCACTACACAACCTTGTACCACAACTACCAGCACTACACAACCTTGTACCACAACTACCAGCACTACACAACCTTCTACCACAACTACCAGCACTACACAACCTTCTACCACAACTACTAGCACTACACAACCTTGTACCACAACTACCAGCACAGCACAACCTTCTACCACAACTACCAGCACTACACAGCCTTCTACCACAACTACCAGCACTACACAACCTTCTACCACAACTACCAGGACTGCACAACCTACCACAACTACCAGCACTACAAAACCTTCTACCACGACTACCAGCACTACACAACCTTCTACCACAAACTACCAGCACTACACAACCTACCACAACTACCAGCACTGTACAACCTTCTACCACAACTACCAGCACTACAATACCTCCTACCACAACTACCAGCACTACAAAACCCTCCACCACAACTACCAGCACTACACAACCCTCTACCACAATTACCAGCACTACACAACCTTCTACCACAACTACCAGCACTGCTCAACCTACCACAACTACCAGCACTACACAACCTTCTCCCACGACTACCAGCACTACACAACCCTCTACCACAACTACCAGCACTACACGACCTTATACTACAACTACCAGCACTGCACAACCTTTTACCACAACTACCAGCACTATGATGTGTTGTTTGTCCGTCGATTCGACGAGGACCATCTAGTCATCCTGGGGTCGAAGTTGGTGGGTACGCAGATGACTTGTCAGGCCAATCCGCGCACGAAACGTTCTTTGGCAGTGTGGACAGGGAAGGGTGGCGGCATCGAGGGGTCTGATGGCTCTGGTCTTCCTCGCCTGCCTGCGCTGCTCAGCACTACACAACCTTCTACCACAACTACCAGCACTACACAACTTTCTACCACAACTACCAACACTACACAACCCTCTACCACAATTATCAGCACTACACAACCTTCTACCACAACTACCAGCACTGCACAACCTACCACAACTACCAGCACTACACAACCTTCTCCCACAACTACCAGCACTACACAACCCCCTACTACAACTACCAGCACTACATAACACTCTACCACAACTACCAGCACTACACAACCCTCTACCCAACTACCACCACTACACAACATTCTACTACAACTACCAGCACTGCACAACCTTATACCACAATCACTAGCACTGCATTAACACATACACACAAACACACAACACACCACACACACACAACACCACACCACACACACACACACACACACACCACACACACACACACACACACACACACACACACAACACACACACAACACACACAACACACACACACACACACACACACACACACACACACAACACACACACACACACACACACACAACACACACACACACACACACACACACACACACAACACACACACAGACACACACACACAGACACACACACACACACACACACACACACACACACACACACACAAACACACACACACACACACACACACACACACACAACACACACACACACACAACACACACACACACAACACACACACACACACACACACACACAACACACACACACACACACACAACACACACACACAAACACACACACACACACACACACACACACACACACACACACACACACACACAACACACACACACACACACACACACAACACACACCACACACACACACACACACCACATACACACACACACACACACACACACACACACACAGTTGCCAGATACCCCCATGTTTTATCAACCTTACATCATCAATGTTAACATCCTACGGTCACTGCAGTATCGCCAACAACGATATCAGAAGAGTTCTTCCAGCTGCTTTATGCAAAAATCAGTGTTGCCACCACCAAGGCACAACATCCTCTCAGTCATACCAGCTTCTAACCCCCTAGACGCCTAGAGCATCGTAACCAGAGACATCTAGATATACCTATTTAAACCTAGATACCTATTTAAACCTTTTTAAAAGCAGATATCCCCATTACCTTATTGCCATATATATATATATATATATTATATATATATATATATATATATATATATATATATATATATATATATATATATATATATATTATAGCTTTTTCCACTCATGGTAGAGTATTACGTACCTATGGTACTTCATCACTTAACCACTATGGTAGGTGAGCACTTGACTATGGTAGGCTAGCACGTAGCAATGGTAGTTGATTAGTTAATCATTGTAGGTAAAAGAGCTATGGTTTAGAAACTATTTTCAGCAGTATCCTAAAACCACTTAACACCATTACCATGGTAGGGAAGCAGTTATTTCCATTACCATGGTAGGGAAGCAGTTATTTCCATTACCATGGTAGGGAAGCAGTTATTTCCATTACCATGGTAGGGAAGCACTTAACACCATTACCATGGTAGGGAAGCACTTAACACCATTACCATGGTAGGGAAGCACTTAACACCATTACCATGGTAGGGAAGCACTTAACACCATTAACATGGAAGGGAAGGACTTAACACCATTACCATGGTAGGGAAGCACTTAACACCATTACCATGGTAGGGAAGCACTTAACACCATTACCATGGAAGGGAAGCACTTAACACCATTACCATGGTAGGGAAGCACTTAACATCATTACCGTGGTAGGGAAGCACTTAACACCATTACCATGGAAGGGAAGCACTTAACACCATTACCATGGTAGGGAAGCACTTAACACCATTACCATGGAAGGGAAGCACTTAACATCATTACCATGGTAGGGAAGCACTTATTATCATTACCATGGTAGGGAAGCACTTATTACCATTACGATGGTAGGAAAGCATTTACTACCATCACCATGTTAGGGAAGTACCTAACACCATTACCATGGTATGGAAGCACTTTACATCATTAGTATGGGAGGGAAGCACTGTACACCATTACCATGGAAGGACAGTACTTATTACCATTACCATGGTAGGGAATCACTAAACACCATTACCATGGAAGGGAAGCACTTAACACCATCACTATGTTAGGGAAGCACTTAGCACCATCAACATGTTAGGGAAGCCCCTAACACTATTATCATGGTAGGGAATCACTTAACACCATTACCATGGAAGGGGAGCATTTAACACCATTACCATGAAAGGGAAGCACTTAACACCATTACCATGGTAGGGAACCCCTTATTACTATTACCATGGTAGGAAAACACTTAACACCATTACCATGGGAGGGAAGCATTTAACATCATTACCATGGAAGGGAAGCACTTAACACCATTACCATGGTAGGGAACCACTTATTACCATTACCATGGTAGGGAAGCACTTAACACCATTACCATGGAAGGGAAGCACTTAACACCATCACCATGTTAGGGAAGCACTTATTACCATTACCATGCTAGAGAAGCACTTAACATCATTACCATGGTAGGGAAACACTTATCAACATCACCATGGTAGGGAAGCACTTAACATCACCATGGTAGGGAAGCACTTAACATCATCACCATGGTAGGGAAGCACTTAACATCACCATGGTAGGGAAGCACTTAGCAGGACCATGGTAGGGAAACATTTAACACCAGTACCATGGGAGGGAAGCACTTAACATCACCATGGTAGAAAAGCAGTTAACAGCATTACCATGGTAGGGAAACACTTATCGACATTACTATGATAGGGAGGCACTTAACATCACCATGGTAGAGAAGCACTTAACATAGCCATGGTAGGGAAGCACTAATCACCATGGTAGGGAAGCACTTAATATCACCATGGTAGGGAAGTACTTAACATCACCATCGTAGGGAAGCACTTAACATCATCACGATGGTAGGGAAGCACTTAACATCACCATGGTAGGGAAGTACTTAACATCACCATCGTAGGGAAGCACTTAACATCATCGCGATTGTAGGGAAGCACTTATCATCATCATGGTAGGGTATCCCTTATTATCACCATGGTAGGGAAGCACTTAACATCGCCATGGTAGAAAGCACTTAACATCATCACCATGGTAGGGAAGCACTTATCACCACCATGGTAGGGTAGTACTTAACATCGCCATGGTATGGAAGCACTTAACATCGCCATGGTATGGAAGCATTTAACATCGCCATGGTAGGGAAGCACTTAATACCATCACCATGGTAGGAAAGCACTTCACGCAATTACCATAGTAGGTAGGTACTTAACATCACTTTAGT